AGGATGGCCCAAGTCCTTGGGCCCTGCACCCCATGGGAGACCAGGATAAGTACCTGGCTCCTGCCATCGATCAGTGCTGTGTGCCGGCCGTGGCAGCCATTGGAGGGTGAACCAACGGCAAAGGTAGACCTTTCTCTCTGTCTCTCTCTCTCACTGTCCACTCTGCCTGTCCAAAAAAAAAAAAAAAAAAAGATAGAGAATTGGGCTGGAGAAATGCCCCTTTTAGAAAGTTAAGAACATTCTGATGACAGAGGCCTATTGGGAGGCCAAACTGAGTTCCGTATGTCTCCAGTGCTCCCAGCTGCCTTTCTTGAGCTCATCTTAGTCCCAGGGTCCTAGAAGTCTCACCTTCTCCAGTTAGTTCTCCTCACACATACATCCCCATTAGGAGGGCCTTTTTTTTTTTCCTCTTTATTTGAAAGGCAAAGAGAAAAAAAGGTATGGGGGTGGGGAGAGGGAGGGAGGGAGGAAGGAAGGAAGGAAGGATGGAAGGAAGAAAGAAAGAGAAAAGGAAAAAAAAAAAAAGAAAAATTCCCCATGCCTTGGTTGACTCTCCAAATACTTGCAAAAGCCAGGGATGGGCCAAGGCCAAAGCCAGGAGCCAGGATCACAACCCAGGTTTACCCAGTGGGTGTCAGGAACCCAATTATTTGAGCTATCACCACTGCCTCCCAGGGTCTTCATTGGCAGGAAGCTGGAGTCAGAAGCCAGAACCAGGATTCAAACCCATACTCCAGTGGTGGATGTGACCATCTTAAATGCTAGGCTAAATGGCCACTCTCTTGGGGCCCAATTTAAGTGCCCTCTCAGACCCTAGCTAGCCTTCTTCCTACGAGATTGGCTGTTGGAGTACTCCAGTCTCTACAGATAGACTTCCCCAACACTGTCTCCCAGCCTGCCCCAGAGACCTCCTGCTGTGCTCTCCCCACCCACAATGAACTGTGGGTTTGAACCATGTTCCTAGATGATAACTGAAGAGTACCTGAGATAGTAGTACACTGTGCTCATCAGCTAAATTTGGCTCACAACTGAATCAAACCTACCTGCTCTAGCATATCCTGCACTTTAGTTAGCAGATCAGGGGCCAAGCCTTGGCTCTCCTCTTTAATCCTATCAAATAAAAAAGCGTTGTACACCAATTGTGTCCAAGTAGAGGCCATATATACTCAACCTATGAAATTCTACCGGAATGCTATAGAGGTGTGAGGGCCTGGGACAGATTCCCTGAGGCTGCTGCAATCAGTCTCTCTGAGAACAGCAATTCCTCAAAACGGTGGTCCTCCACGGGGTTTGCTTGGGTGATGGGGTAAGTGTGTGGGTGTGTGTTCTTCCCACCACCACCACCACCTGAAGATGTGTGGACTAAACCAGCAGCCTTTTCATGGACCAAGGTAACATCCCACATGGGTTTGTAAGACCAAACTCAGATTATGAATGTAAAAGCATGTGAGTCACTCAGGAAGAAGAGAGCAGCACAGTCGCTAGGCAGACAGAGGCAGGTAGATGGTCCAAGGTCAGGGAAGGGGAGACAGCACGGAAAGTCCAGCTGTGAACACAAAGTTTTCCAGGTCATACATAGTGTAAAGACTCTGGCCTCCCCAGCGGACAGGCAGTGAGTGGTAACAGCTGAGTGATGACCCTAGGAAACCTCCTGAACCCTGTTTATGGTCAGCTGGAGCCAACGGTTGTTCAAATGGCTTATATATTTTTATTGGGATCAATTCTCCTGCCCTATCAACCTAAATTCCCTTCTCTAACAGTGTCTATCTTTTTTAAATTAAGCTTGTTAGAAGAAGGTAATATTTAAACCAAGGAATAAAGTGCATGGTGAAAGTTGGAACACTGGGAGGATAAACCTTGTGACACTAAATCCTACAGGTTTATAGATGGAGGGGCAGGTAACACTTTGCTGTTCTGCAGGTCTTACTTCCCTGACTGACCATTTCCTCTACTGCTAGGCTTCTCCAAACCCCCTCTGGACAACTGTTGGAGAACTGCATGTTCAGCATTACCTAATTTCCTCATAAATCTCTTGCCTTTTAATCAGCTAAGTGGCTATCTGCTGAATTTCCCTGATTTATTGACATCTTTTGAGGGCTCAGGATATGTCTAGATCCTAAGTGATTAAATGTGGATGAAATGGCACAGCACCATAATTATGATAGAAAAGAGAAGCGTGACTAGGCATACGAATGGAGACCGCTCCATAGAAGGGCAGCCTCCAGGGCTGCAGGAAAAACCGTCTACCAGGCTAGCTTTTCTCCCCAGAAATCCTCCCCAACAGCTCTCATTAGCAGTACATTTGCATTTGCATTTTCTGGCTTAGCAGAAGGATGATCCACTAGGCTCTAGTGGGAACTGACTGCTGGCGAACCTCAAAGGTTAGAACACCATAGATGGCCGGCGCCGTGGCTCACTAGGCTAATCCTCCGCCTAGCAGCGCCGGCACACCGGGTTCTAGTCCCGGTCGGGGCGCCGGATTCTGTCCCAGTTGCCCCTCTTCCAGGCCAGCTCTCTGCTGTGGCCAGGGAGTGCAGTGGAGGATGGCCCAGGTGCTTGGGCCCTGTACCCCATGGGAGACCAGGAGAAGCACCCGGCTCCTGCCATCGGATCAGCGCAGTGTGCTGGCTGCAGCGCGCCAGCCGTGGCGGCCACTGGAGGGTGAACCAACGGCAAAGGAAGACCTTTCTCTCTGTCTCTCTCTCTCACTGTCCACTCTGCCTGTAAAAAAATTAAAAAAAAAAAAAACATAGATTTGGTTTTCACCCTAGCCACCAACTCCACGTGAGGATGTTTCTGTGATGGATGTTTCAGTTTATCTGGACCCAAATTCTTCACTTGTTAACCATGGCATTGCCTGTAATACCCTCTTTAAAAAAACAAACAAACAAACAAACAAAAAAAAAACAAGGAGCAGGTGTGTGGCCTATAGGTGTGGGACACTGGTCAGAACTCCATATCCCACATCAGAGTACCTGAGTATGAATTCCTGCTGCAGCTCCTGATTCCAGCTACCTGCTAATGTAGATGCTGGCAGGTGATGGCTCAAGTAACTGAGGTCCTGCCACTCACATGGAAGATCTGAATTGAGTTCCCTGCTCCTGGACCAGCCAGCTACTGTGATCATTTGAAAGAGCACACTCTTTCTTGTAAAATTTAACAAGACACTGTGGAGGTACTAAAAGTGAGACAAATTATTATGTATGTCACCAGCATTCTAGATGTTACAGTTGTTAAAGCACCACCAGTTGGAAGCTCCACTGTTAAGTACATACCAAGTGAATGAGATCTGCATGCCCTCATGAGAACCTAATTTCAAAATACAAATAGTATTGCCACAGTCCAGCTGCACAATTTATTATATCTACACAACATTGGAGAACAATCTAGCAACTCTATAATACTATTTAATAGGGCTTTTTTTAATAGAATGAGTATCAACCAAAAAATGAAAAATCAATATGATTGCAATAGGAGAAAAAGAGATTTAGAGAAAGTTCCCAATCAAAGTATGGATTGTGTTTCAAAAGTCCATGCATGTTTCTAATTTTTTTAAAAAGACATATTTATTTGTTTGAAATTGAAAGAAATAGAAGGAGAGGGAGAGAGAGAAAGACAATCTTCTATTGCTGGTTCACTCCCCAATGGCCACAGCGGCTGGGGCTGGGTCAGGCTAAAGTCAGGATCCAGGAGCTTTTCCAGGTCTCCCATGTGTGTACAGGGGCCCAGGCACTTGGGCCATATTCTGCTTTCCCAGGTGCATTAGCAGAGAGCTGGACTGGAAATGGAGCAGCTGGGTCTTGAACTGGTGCCCATATGGGATGCTGCCACTGCAGGCAGAGGCTTAACCTTTTATGCCATAGTGCTGGCCCTGTTCCTAATTTTTAGCTTCTAGGATCTTAATGTCATCCATGGATTTTATAGTAAAATACTCATTGGAAAATTCTTCATGAAAATTAATAGGGGACTGGCCCTGTGGCATAGCAGGTAAAGCTGCCCCCTGCAGCACCAGCATCCCATATGGGTACTGGTTCATGTCCCGGCTGCTCCACTTCCGATCCAGCTCTCTGCTATGGCCTGGAAAGCAGCAGAAGATGGTTCAAGTCTTTGAGCCCCAGCATCCGCGTGGAGACCTGAGGAAGCTCCTGGCTCCCGGCTTCAGGTTTGCTCAGCTCCAGCTGTTGCTGCCATCTGGGGAGTGAACCAGTGGATAGAAGACTTCTCCATCTCTCTCTCTGCCTCTGCCTCTCTGTAGCTCTGCCTTTCAAATAAATAAATAAATCTTTTTTAAAAAAAAATTAATGGATTGATATCAGACAGATTTCAGTTTTAAGTGTTGTGAAAAACTTTGACTCTTCAGTCTTTATCATGGGACAATTGATGCAAGGAATAGTCAAAAAGTTCATGGAAAGCACATATGATGAAAAAAAACATGCATGGGCTTCAACTTTTTGCACCAGGATCCACAGCAGGACCCAGCCTGGGCAGCATCAGGAAAGATTCACAGAGGAGCAGACATTAAAACTGGCTCTTGACGGACACGTGGGATTTCGTCACCCGAGATGCTCTACTGTAGCACTCTCCCTCTAAAGAAACAGGCTTATTAAGCACTGTACTTTCAGAAATAACCAGTGTGCAACCCAACCAGAAAGCCTTCCCCAAAGCACCGTTTTAACATAACCTCTGCGCTCATGGATCATTGTTAATGGCAGGGCATGAAACCAAACATGAATTGAAAAAGCAATTTCCATCGGTTGTAGAGAATGAAAGTTATTTCACTCAAGAAAGAAAAATCCCTGTGGTAATTCAGAATTCGAAGACATTTCTTCTGAAATGTGAACTCCTCCCTTCGATCCCAGAGTAGCCCCCAAATTGATAGGTTTGCCTCACCGAACATTAGACATGATTCTGAAAAGCTGGGTATGAAGAGATCGCAAATATATGGAGCCATTTACCACCCACAAGGGGAATTGGTTCATCAAAGAAACCACCACGGTGAATGTCTTTCCACGAATTCAAAGTCTTTTAATAAATGGACACTTAACTCCAATCTCTTTTATAGTCTTACAAAGAATTTACATACATATTTTCATGAAGTGGCATTCTGGCGGTCGATATTACACTTGAATCTGCATGACAGCACTTTGTACTGAAGGCGCATCACAGAAATGTCACGGCATTACAGATATTTGTAAGACGGGGAGCAGTACCCCATTCTCAGGGCTCCTGGACATATCCTTTTCTGAAAAATTATTAATTCTGTTTCCATTTTGATTAAAATCTATTTTTTACCACTTACAGAAATAAAGCTCTCTTCTTGTTGTGAAAATTGGCAGTAAGACTTGGTTTCTTCAGTCGATATTTAAAAAATGGGACCAAGAGGAATACTCGAGGAGGTTGTGGGAATTTTTTAGAAAGGATGGCGTCCATGTATTCACTCGGGTCTGCGAAGTCTTGGAGAGCACAGTGTAGGAGTACATATGTGGAAGAAACATCCAGTGTCACAGGCTGGAGGGCAGAGTTTGCTCTGGGGCCTGGAGGGAAGGAGTGACTGTGACTGGCAAGGAGCCAGGAGTGACAGAGGAGAAATTAAAAAAAAAAAAAAACCTTGGAAGATGACTCCAGGATTTACTGCACTGCCATTTAACACGTCTATAGTCCTCACATCCGTATCTCAGGACTTCTCAAGTGCAGCCCCAGCCGCCTCCCCCAGCACGTGCCATCAGTCACTAGGCCACATCTGTGCAAAAAGGCCACAAGGCCTGTAGACAGTGACTCTCTACGGGGTGAAAACCCCAAGCCTCCAACCCGGGAAACCTAAGACACAGCCACCCTGCCCTGTCCCTACTCCCGGCCAACCGCAGCCTGTCCTGTGGCTGGCTTGCTCCTGGGTACCTCCCCCGTCCTGCTTCCCCACGTGTGCCTTGGAGAGCTCAGTGTGGAGCCCACACCTCACCTCCCTGACACTAACAGGTAGTGGTCCTCAAATACTCAGAAGCATAACCCTAGCCTCGGGCTCTGCTCTATTTTGGTAGTTCTAGTTTGGATACATTATTCAGAGTTCCTTTCTAAAGTCTACGCACTGGGTCCAATCCGATGCTGTGGAGTGTTGGCTCGGAGTCTGATCATTTCCCCAAGTGGCCCCTCAGCAGTGGGCGGGCGCTGCTTTCTCCTGGTGGTGCACAGGCGGGCACCGTCCCTCTCCGGCTACAAGACCTCAGAGTGCGTCTCCGGGAGGTTCTCCTCGAGCTTCAGCCCCAGGTTGTCGATGCCAATGATGGTGACTGGGGGTACGCTGCTTTCGGCCGGCTCTGCCGTGCGTGTCGGGGTGGAACAGTACAGGACGAAACCCACCATGATGATGGTGAAGGACAGGATGTAGAGTCCTGAGAACTGGAAGAGAAGAGCAGGCAGTGGACTGTGCTCCCCCAAACTCATCGGTGCTGCTGTGCTTTTAATGCTCCCATCCCACAATCCTTTGTGGCAAGCTGCCTCAGGGATGCTAATGCCCTTTGAAAACACTCCCAAGCCTACCTGGGCTCCGCCAACCAGATCCTTGGAGAAATGGAACCTTTGCCTTTCTTAGTGATAGTCCAGCTCTACCCTACCCTGCAAGTAGTCCTACTTAGTGGAGAAGATAAAAGGTCAGCATAAATACTCTGGGAGAGACCCTTTCAGACAACAGGCACAGCTTACAATATTGACATGAAACAGAGGAAAATATTGGGCCAGAGTTGTAGCACCACAGGTTAAGCCACCACCTGCAATGCCAACATCCTATATGAACGATGGTTCAAGTCCAGGCTGTACCACTTCCAATCCCAGCTCCCTGCTAATGTGCCAGGGGCTCCCAGTAACCCGTGTGGGATAATTATATGAAGTTCTGCGCTCTTGGCTTCTGCCTGGCCCAGCTCCAGCCTTTGTGGCCATTTGGGGAGTGAACTAGTAGATAGAAGATCTCTCTCGGTCTCTCCCTTTTTCTGTAACTCTTTCTAATAAATAAATCTTTTAAAAGCAATTTTACACCTCTCTTTCAACTGTCTGATTCAAAAAACTAATAGCTAAAGTTATTTAGATAGTATAATTTCATAAATTGGTGGTGCACTGGGTTTACAATTCCGTATTTTAAAACTATGTTAAAAAAAAAAAACTATGTTTAAAATGCTAGACATCTTTATTATGCCCTGAAGTTTTTTCCTACCTCTGAAATTTACTCTAAAGATTCCACTCCTGCCAGGCACATTACACTATAAGGCTTGACATGACCTCTGACCAAAAACAATAAAATCTCATCCAAGTTCAGAGTGAACTGCTAGACATGCAGGACAAAGGAACATAAAAGAACTGAAAGGAATGTCTAGAGTGCCTGCTCTGATTCCAGGACTAGTGCAAGTTAAGTGTCCAAACAATGAGGCATGAAAGGGCTTTTTTATATCAAAGTCAAAAGCAGCTGAAGAGCAAATATTTAGATTAAGCGAGTTTACAATAGGTAGTAACAAGTGTACTTTCACTTAGACGTTATTTCTTTAACCTTAGCTCCCTCTTGAACACTCTTTTACTTATGATGGAAAAGCAAACTACTAAAGCTAAATCAATGTTTGGTTAAAAAAAAAAAAAGCAGAAGGAGGGTGTTACTTGTTATACTGCTGAGTTCTCAGGCTTTCTTTGGGTGTAGTGTGTTACCAACCTGGCACCACAGTAAACAAACACCAGCATCCCTAGTGGGCGCCATAGGAAATGCAGCCATGGCACTGATGTAGTCCTTGACAAACTGTGCTCTCACAGAAAAAATTATCAGGGCCTACAAAGACCACTTCTCTGATTCACTCTGACATTTACCACCTTTTTATGATGCTACCAATAAGTCTTAAATACCCTTTCAGTCTCAGTTCAGGAATATCTTAACCAGCAAGTCTGCAAAACAACCGCTAGTTCCTATCACATGTAGCCTTGTAAGGCAAAAAGGTTAATGCTTCTTTTGCAGAAATTTCTGAAAGCCCATTGAACTTAATTCAGATAAATGTTGTGAATCCATGGCAAAGTCCTGGGAACACTGTCAAATCAGGGACAAAGTTTTCTGTACGGATACAAAATTGTACCAGGACAAAGAAATACAGTTGGTATCTCCCACTGAAACTAAAAATTATCAGGTAACAACCAACATTATAACTATGTTCTCAAATGATTATCAAGAAAGATAGCAAGCAAGTCAACAAGACCTCACTGCTGAGAACAGATGCATCTCTAAAGCACTGGCTCTCCAAAATGTGGTCCAAGGACCCTTGAGGGGATCTAAAATCTTTGAGAGGACTCTGTAAGGTCAAAACTAATATCACAATAATATTAAGATGCTATTTGCCCTGTTCCATTGACATATGTATGAATCAATCTCTCTCTCTCTTTCTCTCTCTCATTGTCTTCCATCAGCCACTCCAGACATCTCTGTGTACCAGGGCAAAGACAGTGAGCTCCTGGCATGCAGTCTAAGCTAGAATGTCTCTTGAGGGCCACAGCAGCTATGGAGTTGCTTGCATATCCCCTGGCAACAGTTTCCTAAGCTAGTGTCCTAGGGCGTACCATCAGAGAAAAAACCAATTGTATTTCACCCTTCAGAAAAACCCTAAAAGGGCAATTCTTTCTTGGACCTATTTTCTAGTTTAGAAGCAGTTACATGAGGAGTGAGGCCTGTCACTGAGATTCTTGCCAGGTTGGATGATAAGATTTTGTTTTGGGACATAGGGTCTTAAACAAACCTGCCACTTCTTTTGGACCAACCAAGTGTTCTTATTCAACATGATCCACCTCCTTACCTTATAGCCAAACAGAAAGAGTCCAAAGAACAGGCTGTAGAGGTCAGCTGTCAGGATGCCCAGGTTGACGGACGTGGCACTAGTGACTTTTATCACCAACGGCATGAAGCTGTACAGGCAAAACATACAGAGGGCAAATGCCACGAACAGCAGAGCTGCGAAGAAAGGGAACATTTACTGTTATGTGAAGAAGTCAGGAGACAAAGGGCTCAAAAGCTCGGCTGCCATCTAAAACTCCCTGGTCTGCTAACACACCATGTATAAGAACTCTTGTTAACGGTCAGCATTGTGGATGAGACTACAAAACTTTCTGTGGTAAAAATAATTATCAGGGCCAGTGATGTGGTATAGCACATTAAGCCTCCACCTGCAGTGCTGGCATCCCATATGGGCACCGGTTCAAGACCTGACTGCTCCACTTCCAATCTAGCTCCCTGCTAATGCACTTGGGAAAACAGTGGAAGATGGCCCAAGCCCTTCGGCCCCTGCACCCACTGGAAGACCCAGAGGAAGCTCCTGGTTCCTGGCTTCAGCATGGCCCAGCCCCAGCTGTTGCAGCCATTTAGGGAGTGAACCAATGGATGGAAGATCGATTTCTCTCTATCTCTCCTCCTTTCTCTGTAACTCTGCCTCTTAAGTAAATAAAAGATAAATCTTTAAAAAATAATAATAACAGCAACAAGTTGTGATGTATATGAAGGACCTCAAAAATCCAACTAGGTGCTGGATGACTAAGGCCATAAAATCTTGCTTATGGTTGTGACTGCATCAAAAACCTTCCACCCTCTCAGGGCAGGGTGACACTTGTGCCAAAAGGTCAGTAAAAGTAGAATCAATATCTTGTTTCAAGAAAAATCACTCATGATCTTTTGTTTGCTTTCGTTTGGTTGGTTAGACATGGTTTGTGTAACTGGATTCAGAATAAAGTATTTTTAGGGCATCAATGAGAATTATTAGGTCAGTTGTATTTTGTTCATCTCATTGGATTAAATAGTCCCAGACAATACAGACAACTATCCTCTCTAGGTCAGTGCTGGTCATGTGATGCTACCTGTATCATCTGTATGACTGCTCTGCAAGGGATTCTTCAATCTCATCCCATATGCAACACACACATTTTTCTGGCAATCTAAGTTATTTAATTGAATTAAATTATCCAAGCATGGTGTGCAACCTTCAATGACATGTATATTTACCTTGTTCTACCCATCATTAAGTAAGGTTAAAATCTTTCCTAACCAGCCTAACAATTTCTTCTGCCCTATTTATTTGTTCAGATGCCTGGGACTATCAGATAAGAGGGGCTAAGGGGGTGGTGGGTGATTACACACCATCAGATGATTCAGATTCATGCTTCACAAGTAACAGCAAGCAGATAAGAACCTTCACATGAAGTTTGAGGACCCAAGATACAGATCTAACTGAAAGCTAGCGTGATGAAGGCCAATCTTCAGTGAGGCTCAGAATTCCTGGTAAAGTAAAGCTATTCCTGCAGGTGAAGATCAAGCATTAACTTTCCTGGAGGTTCATCACCAATTCTCAGAGGAAAACAAGCAACGTAAAGCACTATAGCAGGTATGATTCTTACAAGGATGTTTAAATACTATTGAAAGGATGTAGTCATTTCTTGATGTGAATTTTGTTGATTAAAGGATATAATACCAACTAAAAAGAACGTATCACTTATGTACATACCAACTTTCCAGTCCCAGTGAATGCTGGCAATATCCTCATATTCCACAATCAACCTAAAGTTAAAACAAGAAGTTTTTGAGAGGTCTACATACTAATTTTTACTATTTTTTTAAAGATTCTATTTATTTATTTGAAAGGTAGAGTTACAGAGAGGCAGAGAGAGAAAGAGGGAGAGATAGGTCTTCCATCCACTGGTTCACTCCCCAAATGGCCACAACAGATGGAGCTGCACCAATCTAAAGCCAGGAGCCAGGAGCTTCTTCTGGGTATCCCACATGGGTGCAGGGGCCTAAGCACAAGGGCCATCCTCCACTGCTTTCCCAGGTCATAGCAGAGAGCTGGATCAGAAGAGGAGCAGCTGGGACTAGAACCGGCACTCACTACGCCACTACTATTTTATAAGCATGTTAGTTACCATTCTTTGGCTAAAGTTATGAATTATGTTAACTTTTGGGGCAGGCATTTGTTGGGGAGGTTAACACACAACTTGGGACACTCACATCCCTAATTAGGGTGCCTGAGTTCAAGTCCCACCTGGCTACACTCTTGATTCTAGCTGCCTGGTATTGCACATCCTGGGAGTCCACAGATGATGGCTCAAGTGGTTGGGTCCCTGCCACCCATGTAGGAGACTCAGAATGAGTTTCTGGCTCCTGGTATCTGCCTGGCCCAACCCTGGCTGTTATAGGCATTTGAAGAATTAAAATTAAAATTAGAATAAAAATGTTTAAAGAATTATGTTGACTTTTTAATTTTTCTTAAAATATAACAATGACTATCTTTAATAAAAAGACAAAGAATAAAGAGAGCCCTTAAAGACATGCTGTATTCCTTTCCAAGTGCTATTCAACACAGTCAACTATCAGAGGAAGCCATGATACTATGCTTTCCCTTTGAATGCAAGGGAAATAGGAAGTTAAGGTATTAACATTTACTGAAAATGAGTGGAAAAGAAAAGTTCCAACTGGTAATGACCCTCACACACTGTTACCAGGAATCCTGAGTGTCACACATGTCAGAAAATAAAGCACAACTGTTGATGTTAACAATCCCCTAGTAGAAATTTAGCAAGCTATTGATTTCAAATGCAAATTTTGGCAAACTCAACAATGAATATTAGCAGTTCCAGAATAATCATCTTTGATACATTTGCTTGTTTTGTTTTTAAGAAAAATTTTAGAATCTTACAGCTGTATGCCACTAATAATTGTTCCAAATAAGCCCACCATTCCTAAAAACTCCTGTCTGCTCAGCTTTTTCACAATGTATTCTTCACACACATTAGAAACGGCATAGAGGGAAGCCCCAAGAAGGACCAGGATGTCACCGATGAGTACGCCACTCCCTGCAGGAAGAAAAGCCACAGAGGGAAGACATCATCAATGGGTGAACCTCTAACTCTGACCTGGAGGAAACTATCAGACTTTCATTTAAATAAGATCATGCCTAACCCTGGTTTCTAGAAATTCAAAATCCCTTACTCTTCTCCTTTTCTGCCACAGTTCTGTTCTGCTTCCTCTTATTCTGGTTCCTCAGGAGAGTCACAGACTGGAAGGTGGTGGTACACACCATAACAACCAGCCTCAGGAGGTGACTCTACGACATGACAAATTCATGGAATCCACCTAAGGGAATTTATTTAAAACTACAGGGGAAGAAGCTTGGTGAGCAAGACACTTATCTCTCTTAATCCAAGGAGACACTGAAGTCACCTGTAGATTGGGTGACTTCACAGACCTTATTTAGCTAGGAAGCCATCAATGATCTACATTTGACACCAAGGACAAAGGCACCTACAGGGTGAATCCATCAGAGGCCTCCAATGAACTCAAGTCTCCTTTTTGGTAAAAATGAAAAACAAAGAATCTTCAGTAGGCTTTCCACTAACTAATTCAAAGGTATAAGCCAAAGGAGATTATTGCAAATATATAATAAAACTTCTCTCTTGTCAGACAAAACGGGACTTGGCAGGATGACACAAAGGACAAGGCCAAGACTGTGGGCTGGTAGGAAAATAAAGATTGTTTTGTCCATGTGGTTACAAAACCCCAGAAACAAGGAAATCTTAAAATAAAGTTTTAAATGTAATTAACTAGGGTCTATTTTCTGCCTTTTACTCTATCTTTGCAAAATAGAAGTGAAATATGAGCAACACTGTTTTGTGACTGAACCACAAACAAGGAACAGAATCTTACCTGAATTGTCTTCCCTCCCTGCTAATATGTCTGCACCAACCATGGTTCCTACGCCCAACAGACAGACAGCCACAGCAATGAAGTGAATCACTCTGTATCTTGCATACAGAACAAACCATGAGAGAGCCATCAACACAGGAATCCCAAAGCAATCCAAAAGCTGCATGAAAAGAGAAAGAAACTTTAAAACCTCTTTCAGAGGTCGGTATTGTTGCATTAGGTTAAGCCAGCACTTGATGGCAGCATCCCATGTCAGCGTACCAGTTGGAGCCCTGGCTGAAGTCTTGGCTGGGTAGGCAACAGAAGATGGCCCAAGTACTCAAGCCCTGCCACCCATGGGGTAGACCTGGATGGAGTTCCAGGCTCCTGGTTTTAGCCTAGCCCAGCCCTGGCTGTGGGGGCTATTTAGAGTGAACCAAGGGCTGGCGCTGTGGCGTAGTGGATAAAGCCACTGCCTGCAGTGCTGGCATCCCATATGGGTGCCGCTTCAAGTCCCGGCTGTTCCACTTCTGATCCCACTCTGTGCTATGGCCTGGGAAAGCAGTGGAAGATGGCCCAAGTCCTTGGGCCCCTGCATCTGTATGGAAGACCTGGAAGAAGCTCCTGGCTCCTGGCATTGGATCAGTACAACTCCGGCCATTGTGGCCATCTGGGGAGTGAACCAGCAGATGGAGGACCCCCCCCTACTTTTGCCTCTCTGTAATTTTGCCTTTCAAATAAATAAATCTTAAAAAAAAAATAGTGAACCAATGAATGAAAGAGTTCTGTCACTCTTCCTTTCAAATTAAATAAATAAATAAATCTTTAAAAAATTAAACTCTCTCATTACTACAAGATGGACAATTAGGTCATATTAAGAGCCAATAGTTGTTGAGTATTGTTGGCAGCTCTGTACTAAGAACTTCACCTGGGTTATCTTTTAATCTTTATAACTATATGAGTTGCTCCAAAGTGACATAAAGAGCCAGCTGGTGAACCCAGGAATTCTGGCCAAGGTCCTGTGTAACTTATCTCTATACTTTCAACTGTGTTTATCTGTAAGTCCAGGAGGCAAAGTTTCCTTCCTTTACTTGTTCAATCAGCAAATATTTATTAAACCTCTCACATATTTGACACATTGAGAGGAGCTATGAACACAGAGATGAACAAGACAGATAAAGGAGCCCCCAACAAGCTAGCAGACACAGAATAATCATGCAACCAACGTTTGGTAATTGGGCCAAGTGTGACAAAGAACAGGAAACAATGAAAGAGCAAATAGATGCCACCTCCTTGACCTAGTGTCCAGCCCCACTATGTGAAACAGACACTTGTTCATGGCACACACTCCCACTCCCCTTCACTGTATGTCTTCAGCACCTGTTAACCCTGGCTCCAGAAAGCTTGGCACTGCCCATCTGAAAGGCAAGGCAATTGGGGGTGCCAAAATTATAGCCAATCCAAAATCATTGGTCAGATAAAGGAAAATTCAATCTCACTTTGCAAGATCCTGTGAAATTTCATTCAATTCTTAAATTCACAAATTCAAATTTTATATGAACTCAGAATAAAATACACTTCATAGAATATTCCTGAAAGTGCTGTATTACTGCTTGCCCTGTTTTGTGTGTGTTTCACTTTGTCCCTGATTCTCTTTTATTCTCCCCTAAGTCTCTGGCAGCCTGTCCGATTGTACCCACAGTTGTTTACTGATTGCCCTTCACCGTAGTGTCATCACTGGTGTCCACCGTGTCGGGTGTGGGAATGGGCACCTTTGCCTTGTCACTGATTCCAGCTGTGCAACCCTAATCTCCTAAGTGTTTTACTGGGCTGCTTGAGTAACAAACCATTAAGTGATGCAGATGATAACGGCCTGTCCTGGAAGACACCAGGAGAATGCAGCCATCGTGGTTTAACAAAATCTAAACTACATTTTTTAAACAAAAAAACTAGAAAAGTCCACTCCAAAAACTTTCACAGAACCCTCCTACCCTCAAACTGTGTTTTAAAATCAAACTGAAATTTGCTTGAACCATTTTTGGTGCAATGATTGTGCCTAAAATGGAGCTGCCTGTGCCACCATGAGAGCCGCAGGGCCTCAGGTCCCAGTCACTCTCTGGAGTTCCACTTTACATGGAATGAAGGGATCAGACCCATGGTTTTACAAGTCTGCTCCTACTTGAAAATTTCAGGACTTATCAGCTGATCCCTATTACCTCCGATCATTTATCTACATGAACCACCTTTTCAAAATGTATTCTCAGGGCTGGCCTGAATTTTTGGTCACCTGCAATGCCAGCACACCATATGAATGCCGGTTTGAGTCCTGGCTCCTCCACTTCCAATCCAGCTCCCTGTTAATGCACCTGGGAAAGCAGTGAAGATAGGCCAACACTTGGGCTTCTGCATCCACGTGGGAAACCTAGATGAAGCTCCTGGCCACTGCAGCCATCTGGGGAGTGAACCAGCAAATGGGAAGTTCTCATTCTCTCCCTCTTTCTCTTTAACTCTTTCAAATTAATAAATAAATCTTTTTTAAAAATTTTAAATGTATTATCTTGGTGATAGATGTCTTCTTCAATGCTTTTGGTTCTAAAAGTCTCATTTAATTAAATGTTTTTAAATGATGGTAGAAAGACCGGTATTGTGGTGCAGCAGGTTAAGCCGCAGTCTGCAACACAAGCATCCCACATGAGAGCCAGTTTGAGTCCTGACAGCTCCAATTCCAATCCAGCTCCCTGCTAATGCACCTGGGAAGGCAACAGAAGATGACTCTAGTACTTGAGCCCCTGTCACCCACATGGGAGACACAGATAGAGTTCCAGGCAACTGGTTTCAGCCTGGCCCAGCTCAGGCCATTGTGGCCATTTGGGGAGTGAATCAGCAGATGAAAGCTCGCTCGCTCACTCTCTCTCTCTCTCACTCTCTCTCTAACTCTGATTTTCCAGTGAATATATAAATCTTTACAAAAAAAAAAAAAAATCAGACAGTCACAGTAAGCAGGATACTAAGACCTGAGGGAGGGGGGAAACATGAATGTACTCATGAGTGAGACCATAACAGGTGCACAGTGAAGTATAGAAGAGAAGTGAAACTGATTTAGGCCTGGGGGGCATTAGGGGTGGGCTTCAAGAGGGCTGCATTCCAGAAAGAATAGAGGAGCTCAGAAGAGAAGGGCCAGATAGTGGGTGGGGAACTGGCAGACTGCGGCAGTAAAGAGGGAAAGGACATGAGTAGATACCTCAGCCATAAAATGTCAAGACTATAATTTCAGCATCTTGAAAGGAATCCTTATAAGAAGGAGGTTCAATGACCATTTAATCCAAACTTCCACCCTGGCAGATCACGCAGGCCAGAGATCTACTCAACTAGAGAACCAGCTCACAGCTCCAGTGACGGGCATCTCTGCTGCTGGAGGGAGCTTTGGAGGTTCGAGGCCTTTTCAAATAATATATTCCTTGCTAGGACCACAGGCACCTGACTTCTGACAATAAATGCTAAGATTTTTCTGAGAGACTAGAATGAAAGAAATTGTTCTTGACAGTTCAAGGCACAAACTTCAGTTGCAAAAACCCAACTGTGTTTTGCTTAGCTGTGTTTAAAACTTAAACCAATTCAAAACTTTTTTTTTTAAGATTTATTTATTTATTTGAAAGGCAGAGTTACAGAGAGGCAGAGGCAGAGGCAGAGAGAGAGAGAGAGAGAGATTGAGATTCTTCCATCTGCTGGTTCACTCCTCAAATGTCTACAACGGCCGGAGCTGGGCCAATCTGAAGCCAGGAGCTTCCTCCGGGGCTCCCATGCAGGTGCAGGGGCCCAAGGACTTGGGCCATCTTCTACTGCTTCCCCAGGCCATAGCAGAGAGCTGGATCAGAAGTGGGGCAGCTGGGACTCGAACCAACACTCATATGGGATCCTGGCATCGCAGGAGGCATCTTTACCTGCTATGCCACAGTGCCAGCCCCTCAAAACTTTTCATCATTATTAGTCTGATATCAATGTTACTAAAAATTATAATCAGGTAATTAAAATGTGTGTGCAATTACGATATGGGGGCCAGCATTGTGCCATAGTGGGTTAAGCCACCGCTTGGGACACTTGCATACCATATCAAAGTGCTACTTGGCTGTTCTACACTTCCAATCCAGTTTCCTGCTGATGTGCCTGAGAGGCAAAGGATGATGGAACAAGTACTTGGGTTTCTGCCACCCATGTGGGAGACCCAGGTGAAGTTCCTGACTCCTGGTTTTGATCTGGCCTCACCCTGGCTGTGGCAGGCATTTAGGGAGTGAGCCAATGGACTGAAGATATCGCTCTCTCTCTCTCTCTCTCTCTCTCTCTCTCTCTTTCTCTTTCTCTCTTTCTCTCTCCCCCTCCTTCCCTCTTTTGTTCCTCTCTGTGTCACTCTACCCTTCAAACAAAATAAATTTTAAAAGTTTCTATATACTTATACCTTATTATCTAATGATAAAAACTACACTTACTCCTATCGGCAATAAACTTCATCCTCTAGGTAACTCCTGTGTTTAATTTCTATGAAATTCTGGGTTCTTTGTGTGCCTCTTACATCTGGCTTAACAAATCATTTGTGTTTAACTTTGTGTTTAACTCCTGCTGGTCAAGAACCAAGAGGTTTGCTGAGGACATGCTTGGCATAATGTTACAAACAAGAAGCAACTTAATAAAATGCCTACTGTCTGTTCACTTTGGAAAAATACTGTTTTTACAATCTTTCTCTTTTCCAAGTGAAATAAGTCTAATGTCATTTAGTTTTACACAGCTCCTAAAATCTAGAGATCAAATAAATAAAAACTCTGTGTTGTGTAGTGAGGAAGTGAGCCATCAGAAAGTTATAAATTCACCACACTGAGAAGTCTAAATCTGTCCTTAGAGTCTCTCTCTCTTTCACTTCCACTAACAAAACATGTTGTTGTTAGTGTTGGTGAGACAGCATCATGATACATCCAATAGTTTGCTAACAGACAACGGGCACCAGTCTTCCTGGCGACACAGAGTTGGAGGTTACTACTATACATCAGCATCTTCCATCTGGGCTACTACAATGGCTTCCTCAGTGAGCTTCCTGCCACACCCCTCCCCCTTCAACATGACCTATACTCCATTCCAAAATGACCATGATCCCCTTAAAATATAATTCACATTACCACCAGGTAAACTCCACGAGGGCAAGGATTTTCATCTGCCTGGCACATATGTGGTGATCCACAGATGCTAGTGGGATCATGTCACTCCTCTGCTTCTCATCTGTCAGCTCAAAAGCCAGTGTGCTAATCACTGTCCATCAAGCCTCACAGCTATGCCCTCCCCACCTCCACTCCACATTATCCCCAAACCCACAACCTATAGCCTCATCTCCCACTACCATCCATCCTCTTCCTCCATTCCAATCCCTCTGGCACACTCCTGTCCTTTGTGCATGCTGTTCCCTCTGCCTAGAACACTCTTCCTTTAGCTGACTTCAAGCCTCAACCCTCACCTCTGTTCCAACACTCTTTACCTCTTTGCTTCATGTATTTTTCTCCACTGGGATACTATGTAATTTAATTATCACATTTGTTTCTGTCCCCTGACCCCCAACAATAATGTAAGCTCCTAGAGGGTACAAACTTTAAAGAAATTTACTTATGTATTTGAAAGAGTTACAGAGAGAGGGGGAGATGAGGGAGATGAGGGAGATGAGAGAGAGAGAGAGAGAGAATATGAGAGAATCTTCCATATGTTGGTTCACCTGCACATTGGCCACAACAACCGGGATGGGGCCAGACAGAAACCAGGAGCCAGGAGCTTCATCTGGGTCTCCCATGTGGGTGCAGGGGACCAAGCACTTGGGCCAGCTTCCACTGCTTTTCCCAGGCCATTACTAGGGAGCTGGGTCGAAAGTGGAGCAGCCGGGACTTGAACCAGCGCCATATGGGATGCAGTTGTTGCAGTTAGCAGCTTTTCCCAATGCGCCACAGTACAGGCCCCAGGTACAGACTTTTAATGATTTTGTTCATTGCTAATCCCCAGCAGGTATTAGTGCCTACCACTTAAGAGCTAGGCAATAAATATTTGTTTAAAAAGGAAAAAAAGAAAAAAAGGACTGCTATGTAGGAACATTTTCCTTTCAACTCAGCAAGAAACAGTGCTGGTAGTTTTACCTTTGGGTACAACCTCGCCCTAAAATGTCTAATAAGCTCCTTCTAATCGGTTCCTTTGTTGTCAATAGCAACTTTGCCAGGAAATCTCCAACTTTACAGCAGTATCAAGGTATATCTAATTGTATACAGCATGTTTGAGCAATGCATAAACCAGAGCTCTCACCAACATCACAGCATCAACTGCCAACTAAATATTTATGCTTATTTTGGTAGGAACAATTCTAATCTGCTATAGCATTAGCAGTTTGAGAAGTGATTAACTTGTATACATTTTCACTAATTCCAGGAAACATTACTCATTAGAACATATGCTCCACTGGAAACAGAGAGCATCCACCTGTGCTTAGGTTTGCTTCAAGTGAACAGGTTTTCCATACAACCGGGTTAACAAACATAAGTTCACATTCTCCTCTTGAAGCTGTAAAGCCCAGGGGTCAGAGGACTCCCCCTTACCTGGACACTGGTGAGAGTCGTGTACTGGTATGCTTTGACAATCAAGTAATTAGCTTCCACATCTGCCAGCCCCAGCAGAATGTACTTCCACCATTTTCTTTTCAAGATGTCTAAAAGGTTATCACTGCCTGGGTGAGAAAAAAATCTAGATTAGTACTTGGCAAGATCATTTGGAGCTTGAAGAGTCAAAATAAGGTTTGTTGTGTATTTTGATGGGGGCCCCACCTAATTTCCATTATTCATAACCCAAACTCTTGCAACAGTTCAGCAGAATCAATCATATGTTTTCTAGCTTGAGACTCAAGTTGTTGAAGTGTCATCATAAATCAAGGGTTCAATGAAAACATAGGAAAGGAAATAAGAGAAAAGTGGTAAATTCCCTATCCTATCCTAATAGAAACACAATATATAGATAAGAGTTTGCATGTTGCCATTTCTGACAAGCAATAGGGTATTCTAAGAAATGAAATGTTTTTCAATGAATTAACAGGCTTCTTCAGAGGACTATCTGTAAGTGACCATTCTTTTGGAAGAGATGTGCTCTCAAATTAACTAGGATCCACTAGTTTGGAAAATCTAACATTATAGGAGAAGTAAAGTTGGTACACATATGAAAAGGCATTGTGGTATGATAACATTAAGAAATAAAAGTAAGTGAGAATCACAATCAAATAATTAAGACCAATTTGCAGTTACATCCTGAAAACACAGAATTAGCCTCTACATAGCATGGCAGGAAACACCTAAGACCTGTCCCTAGGAGGACCACAGTGATGTGTTATGAACCACACTGACATTCGAGTGGCCAATGCTGCTAGGGAAGAGTGGTGTCCAGGGCCATGAACCATGCACCAGTTCTACAAACAATCCCGAAAGTTCTGGCCAAGTCTTGTGTTTTCCCCTAAAAATGATCTCCCCACCCTCACAAAGAGTCACTCCTTTTAAAAAAAAAATGAATTATTTGTCTTGATTCATAGGAATGCAGTTGATACATTAAGGTTCATTTTTAATGGGGCTAACAAACATCATCCTGGTTATTTTGTTATAGGACTCAGAGATAAGGAAAATGGGATTGCACCCTCCCCGTCGGATATCCATTTTCTTCCCACCCCTGAATTCAATCCCATTTAATTTCTTTTATACCATGTGCATCTATTGTGGGAAGAACTTTAGGGGCTGCAAAATGGGCAGCATCTAACAGAGAGGGGTGGTGAGATCATGGGCGCTGGAGCAGGCTGCCTAGGTTGGACTCCACTCCATCAGTTATTGCCAGTGTGTCTCAGAGCAAATGATTTAAGTGTTCCATGCCTCAATTTCCTCATCTGTAAAGTGCAGGCAATAATAATATTCTCCTGAGTTATGAGGTTTTAATGAATTAATATACAACTTAGAAAAATAAAGCAACCAAAATGATTGCCTGTCACAAAAATGTCAGTGACTTCCTACTTTTTCCCATTTCCACCTAGAAATAATTATTTTATGATGGTTCTAAAGTAGCTTGAGCAGCCAGTAGTAAAGATGTTAATTCTTTACTAATTCCTCATCTTTGTTTCTGTTACAACATACACTTGATCAATGTGAAATCCATGTTCCATTCAGCATTCTCTACTCAATTAAAGATATTTTGAAAAGTGAAGTTCTTGACATTTCAAGTACTTAATATTGTATCTTAATTTTATCAACCACAGGGGGAAAAAAAACATAAAACCCAACAAGTAATGACTTTTACACCTTTTTTTTTTAAATAACAATTTCCATCCTGTTAGGGTTTGGTGCTACTTGTTTTAATCAACAAGTTCTGACAGGAATGTATACGTCTACAGCCATTACTTTCAAGGCCTTTAGGAGTGTCATGCTTTTCGAATTACTTTTATAAATAACAGCTGTAGTTTCTTGGTCTTCATCTTACATGGTAGGTTTTTCTTGGGCTCGGGTGGTGGTGGGGTTGTCTGAAAGCCAACATTTTCATGAAGATGATTCTGTTGGAAAGGTAATTCCTACATGTAACATACCTGATTGAAATGCGAGCATCATGGTATAAACTATGAACAGTAAGCAATAGTTGATAAAGCTCTGAAGCATAGGGGTGTTCACTTTGTATTTTTCCGCCAAATACTGGCTGCTGATGGCCGTCCCACATATACACAAGGACAACATCTGACCCAGAGCGATTGTTTTCAGAATATGCCTAGAAAACAAAGGTGGGAGTCAGAATAATGTGCAAGTAAGTTACACCTTTAACATACTCACCAATATATGCTGCAGTGCCAAACACAAGGGGAGCCAATTATTCCAAGGGGTTCTGTGTTTCACCTTACAGCCTACTTCATGAGTATGGGAGCACAGTGTTGAATTTTGAGAGACTACACTGCATATTTGTTAGCATTTTTTACCCTCCCCAACTCCCATACAGACTAATTTGCCATTTCACTGACATTCCATTTAGAGATCATTTTGCTCAGCTGTGTCAAATACTATGGAAATGTGTATGGCATGTGTATCTGTGTGTGTGTATGCGGCATTTCTTTAAAGCAACTTGAACTCTAGTTTTATATCCTCTATTTATTCCATAAATGTTTAACATTTTCTCTTTCTTTCATTCTCCCACAGACTTGGTTTCCCCAGCAGCTCCTCAAAGGCAGGGATGGGCCACACAGCCTGCACATCAGAACCATGCCTGCTGCAAGCGCGTCCTAGGTGTGTCTTCAGGAGACTTCAGCTCTGGCCAGCACCAGGACTGAGGCCTGTGGGAGACCCCAGGGCAGAGCCCAAAACATGCTCTGATGCCTGCTACATAAAAACTGTGAGGTGATTAATGGGTGTTGTTTTAAGCCACTCCATTTGTGGTAAGCCGTTACAGGGCAATAGATAACTGGTACTTGGTTATCACTCAACAAATATTTATTGAATGAATAAATGTAAAAGAAAAAACCACCATAATACTCAAATATGTGATATTTCCCCACTTTCTCAACAGAGAAAAAGATAAGGAACTCTGAGAGTGCCATGACACAAGCCAAGGCCGGTGCTGTGGTCTGGGGGTGGAGCTACCACCTGGCTGCCCCACTTTCAATCCAGCTCTCTGCTGTGGCCTGGGAGGGCAGTAGAGGATGGCCCAGGTCCTCGGGCCCCTGCACCCACGTGGGAGACCCAGAAGAAGCTCCTGGCTCCTGGCTTCCAATCAGCACAGCTCTCACCATTGTGGCCATCTGGAGGATGGACCAGCAGATGGAAGACCTCTCTCTCTCTCTCTCTCTCTCTCTCTCTCTCTCTCTGCCTCTGACTCTCTGTCACCCTGCCTTTCAAATAAATAATAAATCTTTTTAAAAAATTATTTTTCTATAAAAAAAAGAAAAGAAACATTTTAAGAGGGATGAGAACACCAGTCCTGGAGTGTCAGCAGCTACACAGAGAAGCAGTATTGTGGCTTGAGACACAGTGTGATTGGCTCACTGGAGATTGCTGGAGCTATGGAGGAAAACTTTCTATTAGTGGCAAGGTCCAAAGATCTCAAGTGCTGAGCAAGTAAAAGAGAAGCAGGTTGTGTGTGTGCATTTTATATCTATCTATATCTATATCTATCTATCTATATATATATATAAATTCACAGTATGCATTTAGCATTTATTCTATTACAGCAGATTTGAGGTTTGTTTCGAAATGATGCCTGTGAGATATAGGCTTTTTTCCAGTATTACTCTAACTGATGAGGGTGAGTGTTTGTTGTTCGGCTATTTATTTGATTGTTTAGATGGAGGGATTTAAATATATTTTTCTCTTCCCCTTTATGACTTAACACTTCCTTGGGCTGCTAAAAGCTAAAAGTAGGTAGAAATGATACTTATTCTATGGTACAGTGATCTGCCATAGTTGCTACTGCATGAAGAGAACAAAAGTCATACAAGTTCATCACCTTGCACTTCATAGACGAGGTCCATGGACACATTGCAAAGATATGTCTCCATTCTCTGTGCTAATAGCTAAAGTTTTCCTGATATCAAGGACACATCTTTAATCTGATTTTATTTTTGCCAAATACACACAATGGTATTTAAAATAATGATCCATCTAAATTTATTTCAACTTCATCTTGGAGGAAGGTAAGAGCTGTCAGTGATATTGGTTTTTTTTCTATCTTATTTGTTCAATTTGCAGATGATCAAATGACACAGAATTCTGACTTATTTTTGGTTCCTAAAATTAAGGTAGCTTGAATATTGTTTCACATTCCCTTTTCTTTTTAAATAACCAGGTATGCTTTGCAAAAGGCTTAATGATGGAATGTTAGAGTCTCACTAGGGTAAAGGAGAACAAGAAAAATCCTGCAGGGTTAGGGGAAAAAAGATATACAGACAAACAGAAACAGCTCCTTTAAGTTAACACAAGGAAAGGGAGGAGAATTGGGATGGGGCAAGAACTGGAAGAACAGGCAGCAGTTAAGCAGAGAGTGTTCACTGTTTTGTTGGAGCATCAAGGAAACTGAAACATGTTTGTAAGATAAACTGAAGGCAAAGAGAATGAAATCTTGATGACTTACAAGGATGAAATTTAAGAGGTGACAAAGAGAGTTCTTGAAACACTCAAGAACCAAAATTGAGAACACTGCAAACTTTATTTAAAATGTTCTCTACACAAATACTTTCTGAAACAAACAAGCAAACAAACAAAAAACAAAGAGATACAAAATGTGAGTTCATTATTTGGTAAACCTCAGAGTTCATCTAACTCACTGATCTTTCCACCACAGGTGTGCACTAGAATTAACAAGAGAATGGACTTTCTTTTTGTTTCTTTTTCTTTTCTTTTTTAAGGTGGAGAGAGAGACAGAGAGATTGTCCATCTTCTAGTTCACTCCCAAAATGCCTGCATCAGCCAGTGCTTAAGCCAGAACTTAACTTTGGTCTACCAATTGGGTGGAAGGGCCCTAAGCATTTGAGCTGTCACCTGCTGCCTCCTAGGTTGTGCATTAGTAGGAAACTGGTTCAGAAGTGAAGTAGCCAGGACTCAAACCAGGCACTCTAACATGGGATGTGGGTGTCCCAAGTGGTGATTTAACTGCTGCATCGAATGCTAGCCCTGGGGCCAGTGCTGTGGCACAATAGGTTAATCCTCCACCGTGGCGCAAGTATCCCATATGGGCACTGGTTCTAGTCCCAGCTGCTCCTCTTTCAATCCAGCTCTCTGCTGTGGCCTGGGAAAGCAGAGGATGGCCCAAGTGCTTGGGCCCCTACACCTGCATGGGAAACCAGGAGGAAGCACCTGGCTCCTGGTTTTAGATTGGCGCAGCTCTGAACCAACAGAAGAAAGACCTTTCTCTCTGTCTCTCCCTCTCATTGTCTACCTCTCAAATAAATAAAATAAAAAAATCTTTTAAAAAAAATGCTAGCCCCAAGAGCCATTTTGTTTTTTAAAGATTTATTTATGTATTTGAAAGGCAGAGATACAGAGAGAGGAGAGCAAGAAAGAGAGATCTATTGATCTTACACCCATTGGTTCACTCCCCAAACAGCTGCAACGGCCAGACCAAAGCCAGAGGCAGGAGCTTCCTCTGGGTCTCCCCATGGGTGCAGGGGTCCAAGTATTTGAGCCATCTTCTGCTGCTTTCCCAGGCACATTAGCAGGGACCTGGATCAGAAATGGAGTGACTGGGACTCAAACCAGCACCCATATGGGATGCCAGCACTGCAGGAGGAGGCTTAACCTGCTTTGCCACAGCGCCACCCCCACCTCCCTCCAAGCCACTTTAAAACATTGATGCTGAGGGCTCAAATCAGATCAATTATTTGACAGTCTCTAGTGTGGGATATTGGTATTCTTTTAGCTCTCGGCTGATTCTCCAAGGACACCGCCAGGTTGAGACCACTGATGCAGTCCAACCATGTCAGAGTGGAGACAAGGTGCCAAAGCTATCCAAACTAGATTTCCAAACTTCTGTGGAATTACCAGGACATGTCATTCTTTTCTCTCAAAGACTTCTTGGAGTTTCTTCTAGCTTCAAGATGTTTATATTATGCTTTCCCCATTTTTTTTCAAATGTCTTTTTTAGTCTTTGTTTCATTAAATAAATATGTACTTTGTGTCACAGCTTCTAAACAAAGTAGAAACTATCAAAAGGTAGAAAACACAGAATCTCTAAAAGTTTACAATGTGCTTTTTCCACTGGAATATTTGTTGCAGTAACTTATAACTAACCTCAAATAAGCATAGCACAAGGTGGAGCTTGCTGGGCAAGACAAACCTGAATACATTTGTGGAGCACTTTCCATGTGCCAGGTCATGAAGTCACAACAATGAAAAGGCAGCCCTAGTGCCTCTGGCAGATAAGTGGGCATATACGCTGGTCACCAGAGTGCAGCAAGACAAACGCTAACCTGACTAGTTGTAAAAATTCCTGAGGCCAGTGCTGTGGCACAGCAGGTTAGGCTGCCACCTGCTGTATCAACATTCCCTACAGTCACTGATTCAAGCCCCAGATGCTTTACCTCCCATCCAGCTCCCTGCTAATGAGCCTGGGAAAGCAGCGGGAGGATAGCTCAAGTGCTTGGGCCCCTGCACCCATGTGGGAGACCTAAAGGAAGCTCCTGGCTCCTAGCTTTGGCCTGGCTCAGCCCAGCTATTGCAGCCATTTTGGGGAGTGAACCAACGGATGGAAGACTTTTCTCTCTGTCTCTCCTCTCTCTCTCTCTCTCTCTCTCTGTAACTCTGCCTTTCAAATAAATAAATCTTAAAAAAAAAAAAAAAGAATGGCATCTCTCACCAAATAAATAAATAAAAATCCAAGAGTTCACCAGAAAGGCAAGATAATGAAGGGTGTTCCAAGCAGAAGGAATAGCATATGCCAAAGCAATGAGCTCTAAAATAATGTGACACATTCGGGAATGTCTAAAAGGTTGATGGACCTACAGCACCAAGTCTAAGAGAGAAATAGCAGTGGATGAGGATGGAAAAGCCCACCAACACCAGATCAAAAGGGTGTGATGTATAACTCTCTAATGCTGGCTGCCACTTATCTTGCTGGCGATGAGATCATTGGAATCTTCTGAATAAGGAGTAACGTGATTAGCCAGGCAGGAACCAAGCATTCCTGGTTTAAGTACTAGTGCCCCCACCACAGCCCAAATTCAAGAGTTGAGCCCCCAAAGTCTTAAGCTGCTGATATTAAGGGGGTGGAATGTAATGCAATCACGGCATTTGCAGGTGGTGTCTGCTGGGAGACCCTTAGGTCCCTGGGAGCATGTCATGGGAAGGGAGTTCCCACAAGCGGACTGTTACAGAAGCCTGATTTGGGCCTGAACTCTGCTTCCTGACTCACCATGTGCTCCTCACTCCAGGTACTTCACCAGCCACTACGATTCCTCACCAGGCAAAGCCGACTCTGAACCTCCCAGCTGTAAGGTAACTAAACCTCTTCCTTCACCAGTATTGTCTTAGCTATTTCACTGGAGTAACACAAAACTGATTATTGCCCTGGATCCCCAAATACATCGGAGCATAGCACCAAAACCTATTCTTAATTCCTAACATGGAAACCAATTAAAGAAGCAAGTTGACAGAGACAGAAGAGTTTATGATAATAGCCAGTTTCCTGGATCAGATAATTCATAGATAACAATACGATTAATCAGATCCCAAAAACGGGGGAGGGGGGAGGCATTTGGTGCAGCAACTAAGACACTATTTGGAGGCCTGCACTGAGGCTTAGTGGGTAAAGCTGCCGCCTGCAGTGCCAGCATCCCACATGGGTACTGGTTGGAGACTTGGCTGCTCCACTTCTGATCCAGCTCTCTGCTATGGCCTGGGGGAGCAGTAGAAGATGGTCCAAGTGTTTGAGCCCCTGCACCCACGTGGGAGACCTGGAAGAAGCTCCTGCCTTCAATTCAGCCCAGCTCTGGCCATTGTGGCCATTTGGGGAATTAACCAGCAAATGGAAGATCTCTCTCTCTCTCTCTCTCTCTCTCTGCCTCTGCCTCTGCCTCTCCCTCTCTGTAACGCTGCCTTTCAAATAAATAAATAAATCTTTAAAAAAGAAAAAGAAAGAAGAAGACAGTGCTTGGGATGCCTGCATCCCTTATTGGAGGGCCTAGTTCCAGTCTTGCTCCTCCACATCTGATCCAGCTTCCTGCTAATGAACACCCTGGGAAACAGCAGGTGATGGCTCAAGTACTTGAGTCTCTGCCATCCACTTGGGAGACCCAGAATGACTTCCAGACTACTGCCTTTGGCCTGGCCTAGCCCAGATCAGACTGGGGCATTTGGGTAGTGAACAAGAAGACAGATTTTTCTCTCTTTCTCTCCCTTGAAAATAATTAAATTAACTAAACATGTTTTTAGGTTCCAAGAACAGTAGAGAAAGGTACATTTGGAAAAGATAATAACTCCACTCTGAACATGTTGGGTTTTGTTTCATTATGAGACAGCCAAGAAGAAATGTTCAATAGGCAGTTTGGAGACTGGATTGGAGAAATAGATCTGGCACTCATGAGCATAATAAAGGTGGTAGTTGAAGCTGGGGATATAAATTAGACTGCCAAGGCAAATAACTAAAACCCAAAAAGAA